CGTTTCGGTCGCCGTACCTTTTGCGAGATAACCATTTACCTTGCAGACATGGAATTTTTCCACTCAACTCACTGGGATTAGTGTATGGGATTGTATATAGGATAGGGCTTGCCTTTCATCATCTCAATGTACCTCATTCAACATATTCAATTCATTCCACATGAGTTATCAGATTGTCCAAATAGATTTCCCTTTTGAAATCGATGATGCAGACTGACAAAATGATCAAGCAGAATTTAAAGTAAATGCACACATTCCATCTTTAAATTGATTGGAACCATTTATTCATACGTGAAATGTTTGTGACTCAGAGTATAAACCAGACATTTGAAAACTTTTGTCGCAAAAATCTTTTCAAAAAGGTTTTAACACGAGGGAGCATGAATAAGCCCAGGCCTCATAATTCTCCTTGGACTATATTTTTCTTTTATCGGTTGGATATCATCATTGGGCTGGTTTGATGTACCTCAACATGTCCTCAAAAATGAAAATAACTTGTAATTTCATTGATTATCACCAAATGAATTACATTTATTGGAATGAAAATTGCGACAATTAAGTCTTAGAAACGAAAAGTCCTAAAAAGCAGCTCCCGAGACGTGGCAAGTCCTAAAAAGCAATAAAAATTCCCACGCAGGGTAGTGTGCGAAAAAAGTAAAGGTGTTATTCTTGTGGGCCAGTGCCCTTTCCCGTCAACGGTCTTTCCTCGATAGCTCCAATAAGCATGTCATCGAACAGGACAATGATTCCCTCCTTCGCATCATCAGGGTCTTCTGTCAGTGGAGGTGTTGGATCATCCATACCTCTCCATTCATCGGGGATAATATCACGCGGGTCAATATAGTAGCTCGGGGGCACCGAGTATTTTACATAGTAGTCGAACTTGCCACTCGGTTGCCCCAATGTATCAATCACTTCCTTCTCTTCATGTATCATTCTTGCAGGGCCTGGAAATGTGGCGCGGATGTGTGGAGGCAACCTACCACGCCAAAGCTCTCCATTATTTTGTGTGCTTTCACGCCCACGTTCTTCACCATTCAACTCTTCCTATGATCCTTGCCTATTCTGCCCGTCTCCTTGACCACGTCCTCTGCCACGTTGTCCACGTCCACGTCCCCTATTATTTGGCTCACTTGGCCCCTGATACCCTAACCCAGTAGTGTAGGGCCTCCAAGAGACTTCCACCGGTCGGCGGATACCTTGATCATTCCTACCAAGGCCTTCACCCGGAGTAAAGCCATGGGACACCATTACTCTTCCAACCATGACTGCAGCATTTGACACCTTAGGAATGGGCGGCGATAATCCTCTAGACGCATGTATGGTCGATACGAGCTCGAGCGATTGATAGCTCGATTCTATTTTGCAATCCGGCTCAACATAGGGGATAGCGTTGCGTGGTAAATTGGGTGCTCTTCTTCACTGTGGACTGTGATTAACTTTCTCTCTACAACGAACTTCACCTTCTGATGTAGACTTGATGGCACAGCTTTGGCAGTATGAATCCATGGACGACCCAACAGAAAATTGAACGCAGTGGGAATGTCCATAATTTGAAATAGGATGTTGAACATTATTGGTCCTATCTGTATGTCAAGGTGGACTTCTCCCATCACTTCTTTCTTCGTTCCGTCAAAGGCTCGCATGGAGGTCTTGGCAAAATTTATCCTAGAAGGATCTATCTTGAGGCGGTGTAAAGTCGCCAAAGGACAGATGTTTAAGGCTGATCTGTTGTCAATGAGTACTCGGGCTACATGCGAGGCCTTGTATTTTGACAGAAATGTAAAGTGCCTTGGTAAGCCCCCTCCCTTCTAGAGGGAACTCTTCATCTGAAAAGGCTATGAGGTCCTCGAGGAGTATAGAACTCACAAATTCCTCCAATTTGTCATGATCGATCGTCTCGGGCACGTGGACTTCACTTAACACCATCATTAGGGCTTTCTGATGCTTGACAGATGTCTGGAGTAGTTCAAGCAGCGAGATTTGCGCGGGCATCTTGCGCAATTGTTCAACTACGTTGTATTCGCTAGCCTTAATCACAGCCAGAAACTCCTTTGCTTCTTCATCGGTCACAGGCTTTGCAGGTTGGGCATTAGCTTGGCCATAGGTATGCCCGAATCTGGTAACCAAGTTGACATCAAGACTGTAAGACCAAGAGACGGCCTTATTATCACTGTACTCATATGGTTGAGGTATCTCGATCACTATTCCTTCATCAGCTATAGGCGTGCTTACTACGATCCCTTCTTCATCGGATGCATCCTCAAGCGGAGGCATGTCCTCAAGTAGAGGGTCGGCCTTATCTTCTCTGGTGTTCAATGCAGCAAACTCCTCCTCCCAATCAATAACTACTTTGGAGATAGTGGAAATGATGCCAGTGTGATCAGCATAAACGATCATCCCGGCTTTTACTATTCTGGAAATTTTTTCTCTCATGATAACCAGGGGAAGGATATCATTACTCGGGTAATAACTGGCTTTCACTAACTCATTATAAACATCGGTCATACGCACCTTTATATTCTTGATTCGACCAGAATCGAAATTGAATATGGCATTCACATTTCCTGCATGATCAAGGAGTGGGTTGCTCTGAACATTCGGCTTAGCGGGTTGAAAGGAAAATGCCTTTGTATCAAGCAAGTTCTGGACCCGATGCTTGAGAGTGATACAGTCATCAGTTGAATGCCTCACTTCACCCATATGATAATCACATTTCTTGGACGGATCATAGTTATAGAACTGCTTGAGATTGGACCGCTTTGGCTCAGTAGTAAACAAACCTTTCTTCCGGAGGATCGCCAACACTTGAGACAACGACCCGGTGAGGGGGTGAATTGCCTCTTGTTGTTCTTCTTCTGAAAGGATTGACGACCTATGCTTTGTTGTTGAGTTTCTGCTACTTGAATTGCCGGAGCAGGATTAGGGTGCGCATGAATACCATTACGTGCCGGGCGCTATTCGAATAGAAATGATTTTTTGATTCGTGCCGGAAACAATTTCGAGTATTTGAAGGCGTTTGATAAATGTCCAAAATTTATATTTCTAGAGTAGAAAAGAATAGAAATGCATTTGGTAACTACACAAAATTTCTGTTCCCAAATAATATTTTAATAATATTTTGAATTGTTTAAAATTTTTTTCTTTTTAATTTCTTCTTTGGCCATGGCCGTCGCCGCGGCCGGCCACAGCCGTGGGCCGGCGAGGCGTCACGGACCTCGCCGGCCGCCGGCGGGCGAGGTCGCCCTCGCCGGCGGCGAGTGGCTGGACCATGCCGCCGGGGCAGGCGGCCTCGCCGAGACGGCGAGGCTCGGCTCGCCCAGATCTGGCGAGAGCCAAGCCTCTCGCGGCTCTGCGGCGAGCCGACCTCGCCGTCGCTGCCGCGACCGACGGCGAGGCTTGGCCTCGCTCGATCTGGGCAAGGCCGCTCGCCCGGGCGACGAGGGTCCGGCCTCACCTCGCCGCCCTGGCTGTGGCCGGTCGCGGTGGCCGCCGCGGTCGCCGCGGCCGGCTCGGCTAAGAACAACACCACAAAATAAGAAAAGAAAAAAAGAAAAAGAAGAAAAAAACTGATTCTCAAAATTGTCTAAGAAACAAGAAGCAACTTTTTTTACTTCTTGTTTCTCTTCCAAACGCTGTTTCTCGGCACAAATTTTTGCAAAAATGTGCCGAGGAACAAAAAGTTTACCAAACGCATTTCGTTTCCCAAACTATTTCGGGAACAAAAGAACAGAAATTTTTACTATTGGCACGTTACCAAACGGGCCCTTAACGTTCCGTCGGCCCGATTGGGTATAAGTTACATTCACTTCAGGTGCCGGTTCCTTCTCCTTCCTTGCACCAAATCTTTTGGTTGAGGAAGACGGCTCCATAAACCACCCATCTTTCAGCCCTATCTCAATCTGTTCGCCTATGGGGATGAGTTGATTGAAGTTCTCAGCCGGAATGGCTACCATCCGATTACGATACTCGAACGAGAGAGTTTTAATGAACATCCTCTTCAATTCACTGTCTATAGGTTCTGGGATAACCTGAGCGGCTATATTTCTCCATCTGATAGCATAATCCTTGAACGACTTAGTCTTTTTCATCTGAGCACGCTTGAGGTCTTCGCGGATGGGAATGATGTCCGTTATGAACCTGTACTGCTTTAGAAATGCTTCACTAACTTCCTTCCAGGTTTTGAGGCTATTTATCTTCTTCATGAGATACCAGTTCAAGGCAGGACCCGTCAAACTTGCTTGAAATGCATGGATCATTAGGAGTTCATTATCAACGTATGGGCTCATCTGTACGTGGTATAGCTGCAGGTGTGCTTTTGGGCAGGAGGTGCAATTGTACTTGTCAAAATCTGGCCTCTTGAACTTCTTCGGGATTTTGTTCTGTAAGTAAAGAGATAAGTCGATTGAGAGTGAATCATGTGAGTCTTCCAGCTGCTTCACTCTCTCTTCAAGCTTGTTGACCCGTTCATCAGGTTTATCCTTATTGACGATAATCTGGACGGGGTCATCTACTAAATGGGGAAGATCGTCATCTTCCTCACTATCGGCATTTTTCTACCTTTATGTTTTGGGGCTGATGCCTCAGGGAATGCAGGAATGGGAGTCAGTCGAAGGGCTTTGATCTCAGCAGACATTTGTTGCATTGCGGCGAGGAATTGCTTCATTTGGTCCTCAATGCCAATGATACGATCTCGTAAGTCAGTTTGATCGGCCATTCTAGTTCTCGACAGCGTACGAATAGGCGATCGTGATCGGTCCGTAATTACCTGGTTTCATGGATAAAACAGGCATACATAAGTGTCAAGAAGAATCACTCGCCGATCCATGATATTGGTCTCACCACATTGATTAAAAATGACCTCTTTATTGAAATGATGAAGTTATTTACAACGGCTATAACTTGAAATCACCTAAACAGAAATGCTAAAAAACAAATGACTCAATTCCTAAACAAGACTAAAGACTAAAATTGAAATGAGAACATAGGTTCAAGCTTTTCTATTTGGCTTGATCCATAGACATATGGGAGGCGACTTCCTTCTTCAACTGCTCATAAGCTTGAGCTATATTGGAGGCTTTTTCTTGAGCTTCTTCCACCTTCCTTTTGAGACGGTTGTTCTCTGAGCGAGTGGCGGGCTTGAGAGGCATCTTGGGTATCTTCGGGCGTAACTCCTGTGGGATCTTATGCCGTCGAATATACTCGGTTGTCGCGAAATAGGACTTTTGCTCCCCCTTGAGCTCTTTTTTGGGCAGAGCTATCTTTAAAAGACGACACTTCTTCCACATCGTCTTGAGCTGGGCTATGGTCCCTTCGTGGTCTTCATCGTTATTGGTGAAGTCGACCTGGAAGAGTTCCGGTTGTAATGCCGAAGGGAGCCCTTGGAGAATCCGGTACTAACGAGATACTCTGGTGGGGTAGTATTCGATTGCACCCGTGAAGCCCAATAGTGGAACCGGCCAGATACCATCACATGTAAGCCGAGCTTCCTCGACTTTGAACCAGTTAGCATGCCATTGGAAACCTTCGGGTCTAGCGTTTTTCATGAAAATGATCCACTCGGAGTAATGATAATCAGGTGCGTTCCTTTGTTTTTCTTTATACCTCAAGACGGGATGGCTAGAATCACTAAGCTCGGATATTGTGAGTAAATCGCTACACCCTTTTATGTGAGACAAAAATCAAATTTGCAAAAGTTCAAGGGGGGCATGAAACGTTTTGTCAACATGTTGCTTAAATTTAGTGAGGGAAATAAAAGTCTCGGCTAAAATGCTGTTGATAAAATTCTTTTCAAGACAGACTTGTTGGACCAACCATGCAATTGACGGACTACACGCATTCTTACAGTGAGGAAAAATCACGAACCCGAAAAATGCTAGCAAAAAGATTCTGCCTTTTTGAAAAGATGTGGCTTTATCAAAACATTGACTCAAGAATGAAAATGGACATGTCCCACGATTTGCTTTCAAGACTTTTCCCAATTCATCTTTTCCGACACCCAAAAATTCAAACAACATTAAGGTGGAATCGATTCCTAGAGGTGGTGTAACTAATTCTGACCCTAAAGGTTTTCTAATGATCACGCTATATTCTTCCAAAGTCGGGGTGAGCTCATGCTTACTGAATATAAAGGTAGATGTCTCGAGACACCAGAAGTGTGTTAATGCTCGAACGAGGCCGGTATGGACTTTGACTTCCAATAAGGGGAATAGCCTCCCGATGTGGTCCTCAACTAGCTTACGGTTGGTCGGACTGAGTAGGTTCCACCAGGCACGGAGCTTGTCCTTAGGAGCATGAAGAATCCGAATGTCTGCCCCTCCCATAGTTTATAGACCAAGACTCACGACCGACCTAATGTCATGGACCGACCAAAGAAAATACGAAACATAAATAAATTGCGAGATAAAGGTTCAGAAAACTTACTTCACCCGATAGGACCATGGCAATCACATAGACATGCGCATGAAATGTGAGGTTCGATTTCTATCTAGATTATGGCTTGCAAAGTGGAGACGTGAGGATTAGCGGGCTAAACCAGTCATGGTAGTGGTTAGGCCGGGGTTCCCCTGACTCCGGCTTAGTCAAGGAGCCGACCTGGGTTGCAAAGGGTGCAACCGTGGTGGGAACTTAATGACACCGTGAAAGAACTTTCGGGACCAAGGAGGGTGACCCGTACCACGCAGGTGTGGTCGGGGTGTCCGCTGTCTCAGTACCATCCTAAACCTGTGCCGCCCAGGTCCGGCAGCGGGTAGTGTGTGCGGTGTAGTGTAAATGCAAGGCATGCACAACAGGTTATATCATACAGCGCTTCATGCATAAAATAAACCATACATCCAAACACCTCCCTGCATCACGTTGCTGAGTTGTATGCAAGATAATCTCATGTGTGAGTTTGAAAGTTATGACAAATTTCAAGCAATGTGGGTTGCTTTGAAAGATAAGTTTGGGGGTATGTCTGCCACTAAGTTGAGGAGGCTCACCATCAAATTTGACACATACCGGAAGCGCTCAAATCTATCGATAAGGCAGCATCTTCGGGAAATGTCAAACATGATACGTGAGCTGAAGTCGGCAGGTCATACCTTAACTGATGAACAGCAAGTTCAGGCTGTTATAAGGTCTCTTCCTGACAGTTGGGAACATATGAAAATCAATATGATGTACAATGAGAATATTGTCACTTTTGACGATATTGCGCGTCATTTAGAATTAGAAGATGAGCGCCTAAAGGCTGCAAAATCCTCTACCCCTGCTTATGTTGCAGAATTAGGTTCGGGCAAAGCTTCGGACTTTAAGCGCAAGAGGAACCATAAATTCAACAACAAAGGAAAAGTGTGACATTCTGAATTTCGGCCCATTTTTGGGATTTATAAAACGTGTAATTTGTCAGTGTGCTTATAGTAAAATCTCGCCCGGGAACTCATCACTCTCGATTATTATTTTTAAATTAGAGATTTCGCTAGAATCGCACTCGATCGAATTTGGCCGTTATTTAGAGCCCAAACTTTGGTGTCGAATTTCTCGAAGTTTCGGGACGAAATAAATTGGACGGTGTCGATATTGTTGTGGCCAGCGTCGAAATTACCAGGAATAGTGAGAAAGTGAAATTTTGGACCGGGTGGGGATTTGGACTAGTAGACCTCCATCGCAGTGTGTTTTGGATTATTTTATTTTGGCCCTTTGTCCTATATTATTATTTGGCGTTTTTTGTGACCATTTTGGGTTTGAACCGTGTCCGTCGGATCGCACTTAAGTGAGAGGTTTGACTTTTGAGTCTCTCTTTCTCTCCCTCTCTCTCTCCTCTCTCCTCTGCGCCGCGCCACCCACTCCCGTGCGACGTCCCTTCGCCCACGTCTGTCCTTCTCTCTCTCTCCTCTTTCCTTTTTCCCCTTTCTCTCTCTCTTCTTCTTCTTTTCTTCTTCTTCCTCTTCCTTCTTCTTCCCCCAGCCCCGACTGGTTCTGCTTCGTTTCTGCCCTACTCGCGAACCGCCGTTCGACCGTCCTTCCGCCTCCGCCCGACGCCGCCCCACCAGCCGCCGACGCCGCCGTCCTCCTCGTACCGCCACGTCGCCCGGCAGCTCCGCCCGACACCGCCTTCCTCCCCTCCCGAGCGCGCGAGCTCGGCTCGTCGCCGCTTGCCGTAGCGTCCGGCGAGTCCCGGCCACCGTCCAGCCAGCCCCCCAACACCGCCGCAATACCTGGACGTCGCCGCCGTCGTCCCAGCCGTCGCCGTGCTGCTCCGTCGCCGCCGGTTCGCCCATCTTCCTCAGCCTCGTGCGCCATCGCCGGAGCGCCGTCGCCGCCGCCGGTGCCGCCGCCATGAGCCGCCATTCCTCTCACCTCAGCCGGCAGCCCCTCCTCCCACGCCTCACTCTCTCCCTCTCATTTCCTTCTTGTTTGGCCGTGAAAGGCCAATCTCGCCGGAGGAGCTCCGCCGCCGCCGGAGCCGATTCGCCGCCACCACCACCACCTCGCCTAGCACCTAGCCGTCCCACTTCTCTCTCTCTCTCGTCCCTCTTCTCTCTCTCTCTCTCTGGCCGTGTCCCTCTCTCCCTCTCTAGGCCGTGGAATCGCCTAGACCGTCACCGCCGCTCGCGCCGTTCGCCGGAGCCGCCGCTCGCCGCCACAGTTCCGGCGCGGGACCGCCGCTGTCCAGCCGCCATTGCCACTTGCTCAGCCCTATTTGGAACCTAGGAATCCAAGTGAGTGCAACCCTAAACCCACATTAGGCTAATTTACATTTCTAGATGGGTTTTAGGGGTTAATTAGGGTAATTTAGGGATTAGCATGTGAAGGCTGTTAGGGGCTGATTTTGTGGCGCGTTTGGTGACCGAGAATGATGATTTAATTGAGGTTTAGTGGACCATAGAGCGCTGTGTTGTGGCGAAGCATAAATGCCTTGATTTGGGCGAAATTGTGGACTTGGCGGATGAAATTTTGTGGATCGTATGGTGGCTGATCTTGTGGCTATTTCGTGGCTTAGTGTGATAATTTTAATGAGGTTTAGCGGCTGAGAATGTGCTGTGTGTTGGCTGGAAGTGTTGGATCAAATCGGCCCGAGTTCGGGTTAAGTTCGGGTTCAATTGTGGAATGTAGTGCGCGCCTAGTATGGTCCTCATGGTGGCTGATTTGAGTGAGCTCTCAGGGAGCCTAATAGAGTATTTTGAGGAGATTCGTCGGCCTAGAGTAAACCGTGTGGGGGCTGTCCATATCGGATTTGAATTGGACAAGGCGCGATCAATTTGGGGGTTAGTTTGTGGAGGCTGTTAAGGGCTAATGTTGTGGTGCGTTTGGTGGCTTAGCGTGATGTTTTAATCGAGGTTTAGTGGTTTGTGGTGTGCTGAATGGCGGCTAAGCTTAGGAGCCTTGATTTGGGCGAAATTGCGGATTCGGCGGATGTGATTTGTAGGCCGAGTAGTGGCTGTTTTCGTGGCAAATTGGGGAGCCTAATGTGATGAATTGAAAGTGAGTTGAGGGCCTCAGACTGACTGTTCATGGCTGGTTTAGTATCGGGAGGATTCGGGCCATAATTGTTTATTCGAGGTTTTAGGGTGAACGGCTTAGGGAACGATGATCACCCGAGAGGATGTTAAATTAGATGTGGCTCGAATGTGATTGTGTGATGCTCTATGATATGCTTGGCATGGCCAATTTATGAAATGTTTGGCAAGCAATCGGCATGTGTGGTTTTAGTGCTTAATTGCGTGAAATTGGGTGCTAAACTATATGTTGTGATTGATTTGGATTGATTGGTTCATTGAACATATTGATACCCGAATTGAGTATGCATCCAAATCATGTTGAGTGCCCAGTGTGGAATTCACGAATGTCGAGTGTGACATTGTGGTCCTGTGCGTGCATACTAAGTATGGGCATATCATGTGCATTATGCGTGAGTGCACGAACGGCATGAGCATGTGATCACTTAAAATGCCCCGATGCGTTTAACGAATAATTGGTGATTGTGAATGGTGATCACATAAACCCGTATTCCCGAGGCGTGTTACGCGGGACGATGCCCGGACTACCGGAAGATGGCCAAACCTGATGCGTTTTACGCGGGTGTTGTGCCATAGGCCTGATGCGTTTTACGTGGGCTAAAGATCGATCTTGAAGTGACAGACCTGATGCGTTTAAAGCGGGTCGGAGGAGAATTGATAAATTGCAAGTGTACAAGAGTGCAAGCGTGCGAAAATGCATTGATGATACGTGAGCACACGTATGAGCATGAGCATAAGCATGACATGCGTTGTGACCAAGTGATATGTGTATGTGCCTTGATTGAGTTCCGTGCTATTGTTGCAATTATATCGAATGTGCCTAACCTGCAAGGTCAGATAAGTGT